CCAGCACAAGTGCCTACGTTTAAACTGCAGTAACGCCGCTGTTACGTAGATTGTAACTTGATAACTAAAGTGGTTAATTAAAACATATTTTTGTTCCGATTTTTTTTTCCCTCAATACACACACCTCTTTTCTTTTTTCAGGAACTTAATTGACATGTCGGTAGAAAACGAACTGCCCTTACGTTTGGTATGGTTAGTTGGCGTTTCATAGCGCGAAGCAACTAGGCTATCTACGCCAAACAACCCATAAAATGCTGCAAGTTAAACACAGTAAAATGTAAAAAGAAAACAAGTTCAAAATAAAACAATGCCCAAAAATCAAGTAGAATTCTCAAATAGATATAAAAAGGCCAATGGCCCGTAAAAAAACAAAAACAAAAAAAAACAACTAAAACACAATCAAGATGGACAGCGTGACCATCGCCAATGACACCATCCAACGTCAGGGTTAAACCTTTAGAAAAGACATGTCTAAAATGGTGCCGCCGCTTACACTCGTAACGACGACACACGCGAGTAAAAGATGTTTATTATTTCCAGATTTCAATAAAAATATAAAATTAAATAAACTTACCACAGTTTTTGCCAGTCCAAGTAACAAGGCTAACGTTGTTCTCATGAAATTCAAGGATTTGGCCATCGGATGTTCCAGTATACGCTTTACCTAGAGATTGGAGTAATGGAAAACGCACTTGTAAATATTGTGTAATTTTAGTCAGCACGAGAGAACCTATTTATGTATGCATGAAACTGAATACATCTAAACCAGAACGCTTTCTAACGGCCTCTTTTGAAAATCTGCCGATTAAATAGTTCTTTTATTCTGCTAATATAAAAACGGAAACTTTCCAATAAAATGAAAAACGACAGCTACTTGCTGAAACATTCTAATAAAACCAAAACATTCAACTAAAAACGAAACAATAAAAGCTCCCCAGTGGTACGGCGGTATATCTGGGGACTTACTGCGCTTAAAACCGGGTTTCGATACCAGTGGTGGGTAGAGCACAAATAACCCATTGTGTAGCTTTGTGTTTAACTTAAAAAAAAAAATAACGGAAACATTCTGATAAAAGCGAAACGACAAAGATTTACAGAAACATTCCATAAACGCAAAACGAACGATAAATATTTTTTCCGAAACATTCTAATAAAAAAGAAAACCCGAAAAGATTTGGCAAAAGACAAATATTACGACTGAAAACAAAACGATAAGCATTTTTCCGAAACATTCTAATAAAATCAAAATGGCAAATAATTACGAAAACATTACAATAAAAACAAAAAGACAAGGATTTACGTGAACTTTTCAATAAAATCAAAACGACAAATAATTACGAAAACATTACAATAAAAACAAAAAGACAAGGATTTAGGGGAACTTTTCAATAAAATCAAAATTTAAAAGTTTTACAGAAAAAAATTTGCTACGAAAGAAAGAATGCCAGTAATTTCTTTTGCTCGTGAACTAATATTTTCATGAATGATACAAACAGACAGACATCCACGACCAAGTACACTCTGCAATTATAGAATAGTAATACCTGTATTTAAACTGATTACACGGAACTGTCAACTTCTAGGAATATATCTTAATGACACTTTTGCAAAACTAAAGCTATAGGTGCGAGCGTCAAAGGGTATCGTCTTCTAGAAAGGCCTGGGGGACATGCCCCCAGCCAAAAACTTCTTATTAAATAAGGCAAAATGATGTAATCTGGTACATTTTCTGGTTCAATGTGATACTGACCTGGATCCAACCAGTCAATCATTCATAGTGCCCTAAAGAAAGCTGCTAATTTGACTATAACTTATATTTGTTTTTGTTTTTTAACAATGCACGTGAGCGTGACAATAAGCCCAAATGTTGGAAGCTTTGCTGTACATAACGCGCAAATCTACACGAGGGTTATCTTCGCTAGCCGTCCCTAATTTGGAAGGTCAGACTAGAGGAAAAGCAGCTAGTCAAAACCACCCACCGCCTACTCTTGCGCTATCCTTTTACCAACGAATAATGCAATTGACTGTTATATTATAACGCCCCCACCCCTGAAAGGGCGAGTGTGTTCGGTGACGGAGTTTCGAACCCGCGACCCTCAGCTTGCGAGTCGAGCGTCTTAACCATCGGGCCATGCTCTGCGGTGCATCACATTCCATAATACTGGTATGAATGTCGTATTTTCATGCATATAACCCGCGGGGTATACGTTAAATTGATTTTCAAAAACGCCAACTGCGGGATATATTCGTGTGTGTGCTGGTAATACCGTATTTTTGTTGTTGTTGTTTTGTTTTGAAGACTGAAATCGCCAATTTTCTATTACCGAATATTCGTTTATGTTGTTCTTGTTCAACACGTGGAGCGATTCATCAATCGGCCGATAGGTACGTCTGTTAGCAATCCCAGTTATTCTCCGGTCAAAGGACAAAGTATAAATCCGAATACTTTTGACTGAATTTATCAGAATAGATCACAATTGCGACTTAACTAATTGTATTCCAAGACGAGTAGGTTTCATTTTCACTAATTGGTAGAAATACTTCTTGTAGATCCAATCAATGGTAGCCATTGGTTACTCGCCTCTAATCTGTTTAATGGATGTTTTATTATGTTAATATAAAATAATTCTATAATTTTTTTTGCCTTCCAAAATTTATCTGTGTCGCTGGCTTGCGGAGTATGTACGAATTCAAGGTAACACGTTTCTTTTCTCAGGTGCGGGGTATACTAGGGGGCGGGTTATTTACGTGAAAATACGGTACAGATAGGCTAGTACATTATATTTGCGAAATAATAAAAAATGGAATATACTTATTTCAAAATTACCTGTATATTATAAATATATAAGTGATGTAAGTTTTTTCGTTATGTGGTGTAAAAGTCCACAGTTTTATAATCCTGCTTTACTATTTATATGAAGTTTACCCTTCTCTAACTATTAACTCTTTATCATGAAAACGCTTTTACATTTTACAACAGATTGCTCAGCAATAACCTTGAGGGCTCGTAACGCTAATATTTTGTGTGCAAAACAGATGTGACACATTGTGCAGCTTTGCATTTAAAGAAAGTTAATAAACTACTTGACCGGTTCAAACGATAAGCAATCTGAGTGTCGCGGGTTCGAATCCCCGTTCCACCCAAACATGCTCGTCCTTTCAGCCGTGGGGACGTTATAATGTGTAGTCAATCCCACTATTCGTTGGTGAAAGTGTAGTTTAAGAGTTGGCGGTGGGTGGTGATGACTAGCTGACTTCCCTCTAGTCTTACACTGGTAAATTAGGGACGGCTAGCGCAGATAGCCCTCGTGTAGCTTTGCGCGAAGTTCAAAATAAAAACAGACAAACAAACAAATCAAAATTGCAAGACATAAACATATAAAAAGTTGTTGTTGTTTTTTTTTCTACTACAGTTTGATATTACCACATCTAGCTTTATATTCAAATATTTGTTTCATTAAAAGTAACAAACCTGTGACATTCCGTGCAAAAATTACATATAAAATTTATTTTTTATTTTTTCCTGCTTGAGTTGTGTTTGGTCTTACTGTAGTCGGGTTGAAGCAGTTAAGGCTCAAGGCCATTCGTGTCAAGTTTACGGATCTATTTACAAGCCACGGCTTGAACATATCTTCCCCCCAGTAAGTCCTGAGGCTAAGAAAAAAAAATCCCGTTTTTATTTACAAAAGGGGTTAGAAACAGTATTTCTTGTAGTATATTTTATCGTTTTGCGCAGCTGTGCTAGAAGTTAATTTTGGACTGAATTTTGCCAAGTCTACTTGTGACATTTAAGAGCAAGAAAAAAACATCAAACATTTAATGTCATCTTTTATATTTTCCTTTGTTTGTATGTTGTTTGGTTGTAAAAAAACTTACACATTGTTCTACCTGTGTTGTGCTCGCTACAGGTATCGAAACGTGGTTGTTAGCACTATAAGCCACTGGGAGAAAAGGGGCCATATCTTACTCTAAGGCTTCTCTTCTATATCTGACTCTCTATAATATAAAGTTTGATGTGCATATCTCTGACTATAAAAACTGTAAAATCGGCTTTAAAAATATCCTGTATTTTTCCATTATACATCGCTTAGAAAAGATTTTTTTTTTAAATGATGAACACCAGGTACAGTAGATAATGCTGAACTGAATGCTTGCTTTGTTTGCTTGTTATAAATTTCGCGCAAAGCTACACGAAGGCTATCTGCGCTAACCGTCCCTAATTTAGCAGTGAACTAGAGGAAACACAGCTAGTCATCATCACCCACCACCAACTTTTGGGCTAATCTTTTATCACCCGTGGGATTGACCGTCACATTATAACGCCCCCACGGCTGAAAGGGCGAGCATGTTTGGTGGGACGGAGATTCGAACCCGCGACCCTCAGATTGCGAGTCCAGCGCCCTAACCGCTTGCATTGACAATGGTCGCCTAGCGACCAAGGCCAGCAATTCTTTAGTTTATCTCTCGCAAGTTTAAGAGCTTACTTGAACGTAATCTAGTTTTCTAGCACGTGGATAAAATGATACAATGTGAATAATGGCAGATAGTTTTATTTTGCTGTGTTTATCAGATATACCAGACTGTTTGAATCAAATAACTGAATTTTTCATTCAAGTGTCTTTGAGTAATATTTTTTTTTACAACACTCCTAGGTTATTACTACACAATTATAATAGGATTAATTAATCATAATAGCAGGTTTGTGAATGTGACCTTTGGATTAATTAATTATAATAGCAGGTTTGTGAATGTGGCCTTTGGACTAATCAATTATGATAGCAGGTTTGCGAATGTGGCCTTTGGATTAATTAATTATAATAGTAGGTTTGTGAATGTGGCCTTTGGATTAATTAATTATAATAGTAGGTTTGTGAATGTGGCCTTTGGATTAATTAATTATAATAGTAGGTTTGTGAATGTGGCCTTTGACCAGACAAACCCAAAAATAATTTAGTGAGAAGTGATGGAAGTGAAAAAAAAAACATATAATTTTATTATTTGAAGTCAATAAAAAATTAATCAGGATCATGATTCCCATTTCTGCTGATAATTTTAATTATGACTCCGATTTCATTTTTCATTGAATTCAAATACGAAGCTAATTTTTTTTCTATTTCCAATATTTTTATTACTTGTATATATAATTACAATGCTCGAGAAACAGAATACCCAGGTTTTAGTATCCTGTCCATAAAGAATGATACTTATATTGTTTTATCTTTGGTGTATTATTTCAAATTAACTGTTGGAAATACTTCAAAATCATCAATTCCACCTAACGATAGTAACTTAGTTTCTTACCTTCTTAGTGTTTTCAGAAGCTTGAACAATGAGAAACTTATAGACTATGTTTACAAACGGCGCTTACTGCGCTGTACTAACATAAAGAATAAACTTACTTTTTCTTATTCATAACTGAAACGGAAACACGCAGATTGATTCACTCCACCAGACAGAAAACAATTTAATTACCTTCACCGATCCTCGTTTTTATAACCTAACCTCGAATTTACTAGAAAATGTGACGTTAAATTTCTAGCAATTTCTAGACCTATATTATCAAACCTTTTTTTATATTAACGTCAAGATTATGACCCGCAACTCCCTCTAGCTAATACATAAATTAGAAAATTAAAATACAGCTTACATCAATATGTTTAACCA